TATTAAACAACAAATGAAATGAAGATTACCCTGATTCTGACTTCTTATGAAATGGAAAAAATATTTTTATATGTTGTGAATCTTTAAAATTAAAATAACCTTTTGAATGTACTAGAAAAGGAAATGTCTCCTAAAGATACATTTTATAATCACCCTTTTGAACAAACTTAGTATTCCAGACTAATATTTATTTATTTGCACCAGGTGGGAGAAATCATTTTGTCTTTGAATCCCATTCTCCTCATAAAAAAGAGTTATTGTATCTTTTACATTTGGTTTATTGCCCATTGGGATATTCATTGGTTATCACAAATTGCCTCCAGGCCTTGGCAAAAGTCCAGACAGTACATGGACAATTTGGACTTCTGCATTGGTCGTTGCTAACCACATGAGTCCTGAGTCAATGGCTCCATTCCCCTTTTCAGCTTCATTTCCCAGAGAAAAGTAAAGGGAGCTGTCCTTTCTTCTCCATATGCTTTCCCCACCCCTAAAACACTTTTATGTGTCATCTTAGTAGATTGGAAGTGAGTTTAGAATCAATGAAGGACGTTAGCAGTGGGTTTGTACACTTCTCCTCTTTACTTCTGTGCCTTGCTTATTTTCAAAAACAGGTTTTAACTTCTGTCACATTTTTTGAATAGTACTGCTGGAAAAATAATAAATGTAATTTGCTTTTTCAGTATGTCATATACTGCTTTTCCTTCTTTTATGATTTCTTTTGCTATTTTTAGTTTTATTTAATAAAAAATCAACTTTAAATATTATTTTTATCCATAGTTGGAAAAACCCAAAGCATCCATTTTACATCTTTATATTGATGAACTTTGAACGTATAACACATATACTTACAGTTTGTAACTTACTTTTTTATATGTTGCCTCAATGCAGAATTTTACTTAACTTTAACACAGCCTAAAAATAATATTGGCCATATGACAATTGTACTGCTTTGATATTATAATCTACATGGTTAAAGCTAGCTAGCAAAACATTTATAAAGTTTGTGTCTTGATATACCAAATAGAATTTGATTTTCACAATTTGTCTCAATCTTCTTGCCAAGAATGCTTGTGAAAATTCACATGAATGATGGTATGTTATTTTGCAGATGTTTCTTTGGTTTTAAAAAGCTGTTTTGCTTTCTGATAAACACAGTTTTTTAGGAAAAGTAGGAGGAGCTTAGTTGAAGCAATTTATATACTGTGAAGTGCGAATTGATATCTAGAGATCATATAGTCAACTCATCCATCCAATTTGGCAGATGGTTTTCTGTTCTTCCCTTGAAGAATCCTGAAACAAAACATCCACAGCTATCCACACTAGATGATCTGTCATTTGAGTTGGATACTCATTGTATATTGTTCTTTATTTCTTTTCTTTTTTTTTTGAGTTGGAGTCTCACTCTGTCACCCAGACTGGAGTCCAGACGCAGCCTCGACTTGCTGGGCTCTGGCGATCCTTCCACCTCAGCCTTCCAAGTAGCCGGAATTACAGGCATGTGCTACCACGCCTGGCTGATTTTTTTTTTATTTATTGTAGAGATTAGGTCTTGGTGCCCAGGCGGGTCTCGAACCCGCGGGCTCAGGCAATCCACTCACCTCAGCCTCTCAAAGGCGTGGGATTACAGGCTGAGCCACCGAACCCGTCTTGTTCTTTATTTCTTAAATGTTATTTCTGCAGTTTAACTTTATTCCGTTAATTCTATTTATTTTCAAAAAGAGAGGGATCAAATTACTTCTTTAGAAAATAATTCTTAATTTACCTGTAGGCCGTTTGAAATAAAATATATATTTTAAAAGAAAGGCTGTTAGCATTTCAAATTTTGTGTTAAGGATTTGAGAGTTGCACAGTGGTAAATTTTTATTTGACAGATTTATACTTGTAGTTTTTGAAATATTTGAATAAAGAGTGGTATAACTAGATAGTTATTTTATTTTCCCCATATTTATAATGTGACTGCTAATTCAGCACTTAGTATTATATATCCTGAGGTTATTCATGTTTATTGACTCATGATATATCCCAGGAATATGTGCTACAGAAGCACCTTATTTATTTTAACAAATGCTTTGTTACTGTTCTCCAAAAAACATCCTGTTTTGAATATTATTTTTTGTTCTTGTGGTACAAATTTCTTCATTTGGTTAGTCCACTGACTGTTCCTTATTGTGACTCATTTTTCTATTATGGCCTATGATTTTTTTTTTCTGTGATGCATCTTTAATGCATATTTAGTCTGTTGTGTGTTTTGGAAGCATCCTTGCAAAGAAATTTCACATTTGCCTTACCAGCTCCTAACTTAGTTTTACCAGTTCAGGCCTACTTTTTTATTTTTATTTTTGGCTTGGAGATGGAGTGAGATTCTAAACCATGAAGGAAATGAAATTTAGGCCCATACTTTATGCATAGTACATAGCTAATAGGGTCCTGATTTCCTCTGGTTACTTCCTCCCATTGCCTCAGTTGATGCCATGCCTACTTGGGCTTCCTGGTCAGTGAGCTACATGTTCATGGTCCTGGTTTGATGGGTAGAGTGATTATTTCTGAGTTTTGACTTTATGAAGGTCCTTCCAAATGTGACCAGTGTCTTGAAATAACTTCTCTGCATGTTATAAAGTCCCCTTGAACCATTATGGTTTGAGTCATGTTATATTTGTGTATATTTTTATAGCTTTATAGGGCACATATACAGGCTTAGTACATGGATATATTGCATAGTAGTGGGATTTGGACTTGTAGTGTAGTGTACTTTTCACCTGAATAGTGATTGTTGTACCTAATAGGTTATTTTTCAACCCTCATCCACCACCCATACCCCTCCCTTTTGGAGTCCCCAGTGTCAGTTATTTCACTCTGTATGTCTGTGTATACCCATTGTTTAGCTCCTACTTATAAGTGAGAACATGGTGTGTGTGTGTGTATGTCACATTTTCTTTATCCAGTCGTATGTTGATGGGCACTTAGGTTAGTTCTGTGACTTTGCTGTTATGAATAGTTCAGTGACAATAAGCATAGGAGTGCAAGTTTTTGATATAATGATATCTTTTCTTTTGGGCAGTAATGGGGTTGGTAGATTGACTAGTAGTTCTGGCTTTAGTTCTTTGAGAAATCTCCATACCGTTTTCCATAGGGTTTGTAATAATTTACATTCCCACCAACAGTGTATGAGCATTCCCTTTTCTGCGCATGCTTGCCAACATCTGTTGTTTTTTGACTTTTTAATACCAGTCATTCTGACTGATGTGAGATGGTATCTCATTGTGATTTTAATTTCCATTTCTCTGATGATTAGTGATATTGAGCATTTTTTCAAATGTTTGTTGGTCACTTGTGTGTAGTCTTTGAGAAATGTCTGTTTATGACCTCAAAAGCAATGCATCAAAATAAAAAATAAACAAATGGGACTTAATTAAACTAAAAAGCTTCTGCATAGCAAAAGAAATAATCAATGGAGTAAACAGACAACCTATAGAATGGGAGAAAATATTTGTAAACTATGCATTGGACAAAGGACTAATATCCAGAACCTGCTTGAATGTCAAATAACTCAACAAAAAAATAACCCCATTAAAAGCTAGCTGTATTTTTAAACATTTCTGTGTGTTTAGGTCTGGCTGGGATAGAGAGGTCAAGGGTTGCCATTATATAATTTAAAATTATTTTAGACCCTTTTTTTTTTTTTTTTTTTTTTTAGTTGGGGTCTCACTCCATTGCCCAGGCTGGAGTGCAATGGCACAGTCAAGGCCACTTCAGCATCAACCTGCTGGGCTCAGGCAATCCTTCCACCTCAGCCTTTCAAGTAGTCGGAAATACAGGCACGTGCTACCATGCCTGGCTAATTTTTTGATTTATTGTTGAGAAGAGATCTCGCCAAGTTGCCCAGGCTGTTCTCAAACCTATGGGCTCAGGCAGTCCCCTCACCTCAGCCTTCCAAATTGCTGGGCTTACAAGCTTGAGCCACCGCACCTGGCCTACTTTAGACTTTTATAATTTTTTGTTTGCTTATCACCCTTTTGCCAACATGTAAATATTTTGTGCTTACTATATACTGAGTACTTTGAGAAACTAAGATCTTTAGTTAAATTCCCATCTGCAAGAAGCTTAATCTAGACCCTACTGAAGCTAAGATGTAGATCTGATAAAAATATAGTACCAGTAGGTGCCAGAGAGTAAGCCTACTGATGTGGAATAAAGTGGTTAGAAAAGAAATGTAGAGGAAGGGAAACTTAAAGTAAATATGAAGGGTGGTAAGAACGTGACTAGGTTTCCTGGGTTGGATATGAAGATATTGGTCTAATTTGAGGAGAGCTGTGAAACACCAAACCTAAGAATTTAGATTCTGTCTTGTAAATAAGAAAAAGCTATTGGAAATTTTGGGGTGGGAGAGACATTTAATGCAAGTAATGTCTTATAATCTTAGTGCTAACATTTTGGAAGGCTAGCTCATTGCTCTAGTAAAGAAAAGTTGGCACAGTCACTTTCTTTTACTTCATAGAAGTTAAACTCAAGACTTTACGGGTATAAAAATAAGTATGAGTTTCTTTGTGTCAAGAGGGCATCTACTTAGTGAGGATAAGGCCGGGGCTGTGTTATAAATGAGTAGAGTTGGCTGGAAACAAGGGTAGCCATCAGAAGAGCTTAGGCCTCTCGGGGTCCTCTTGATTGTTCAAATTTACAAACTAGATCAATTTTACAAAACACTGTTTGGCCCCAAAAAAATATGAATGCAAACATAGTTTGAAACAAAAGCTTTGATTTTGCAACCTCTCTATATAAGATTCATCATTATATTTTTATTAGATTTTGTGATAAAATTGTAAAAATATATATTATTCAACATTGCCCACAAGATTTAGGAAAAACATGGCCTGCTTTATTTGAAAGTTTGTGTCTAATAAATATTTATAATAATATTTTTTGGGGGATATAATAATCTTTTGGGGATATTTTGACTTCCTGAGTTGGACATAAAAATATTTCCCCAAACTCCTGTCTTACAGGTAAAAGAATGCCACATTTCAGCATTTGTACCTGAAATCAGCATGCAAGTTTCAGGCTACATGGATGAGTGCCAACTTTTGCATTTCCCATGTGTATCCTGTGACCATTATGTCTGGGGTGAGTGATTTCTAAGAGTCGCTGGCAACAAACCAGATGCCAGCCAGCCGTGGCCATGAACTACCCTAACAGATAATGCTAAGAGTTATAAATTAAACACTGTTTGGTGATCTGTGGTATGTAAGGCAGTTCATTTTGTTGGTCTGGATTAACTTCAGCACCAAAAAACTATATTCCCATTATGTTAAATCTGTATTTAACATGTTTAGAAGAGAGTAATAGTAATCATTTGTTGAAATGTGATATTATGGCAATTCCTAAGAATCTTTTGGACTTACAGCAGTATTTTAGTGACTCACTCTATGGATTAAATAGTTTTAATTTTCAAATTCAGGAATTTAATATTTCTTGAGTGATAGTTATAATTTTGTATAAAATAGGGTTTTGTGAACTATACATCTGCTGTTGCCTTATATTAGTTTTGCTTTCAGTATAGCATAAAGTTGTATACATTACAGTATTTAGTTTTCTTAAAAATACGTTAGCTAAATTATTTGTACCAGACATTTACATTTGTGGTTTAAATTTTTTCTTTTTTAATTTCATTCTGGGAAATTACATTGAGTGTAAAACCTGTTTGTTCCCTTATCCATGCATTTTCCTGCTTATTTAAATGATTTTACTTCACCAAGCCATTCATTTTTTAGAACATCCTTCAAAGAGTTCATGCATCTTACTGAGGACACCTGACCTTTTGAAGCTTCATAATTCACATCTAGATGTCACCAGTCTTTCCCATGTTAACAGTTCTGACTATGTTTTATTATATATGCCTTCGGCGCCGAGCCAGAACAGCTACGAGAGGAGAAATGATGAACAGCCATAGAACTATAGAATCAAACAACCGAACTTCCCCTCTCAATGCAGAGGTGGTCCAATATGTCAAAGAAGTGGTGGATTTCAGTTCCCATTATGGAAGTGAGAATAGTATGTCCTATACCATGTGGAATTTGTCAGGTGTGCCAAATGTGTTCCCAAGTTCTGGTGACTTTACTCAAACAGCAGTGTTTCGAACTTATGGGACATGGTGGGATCAGTGTCCTAGTGCTTCCTTGCCATTCAAGAGGACATCACCTAATTTCCAGAGCCAGGACTATGTGGAACTTACTTTTGAACAACAGGTGTATCCTACAGCTGTTCATGTTCTAGAAACCTATCATCCTGGAGCAGTCATTAGAATTCTGGCTTGTTCTGCAAATCCCTATTCCCCAAGTCCACTAGCTGAAGTAAGGTAAGACTCATTTTTCAATGACCTAAGTTAAACGACTGAAAGGTTTCTGCTGTTTTAACATTGGAGGTCTTTTTTTATCGGGAACCTTCTCTTAAATAATTTAAATGCATTTGATTTTAAACATTTTCCTTAGTTTCCTGATGGGAAAGAGAGATTATACATATGAAGATTTAATGTGTGCTTTATACCTGTAATACCTTAAAGTATAATATTCATTGATTGTGATATTTGTATGTCACAGATTTTACCAAAAATGACAAACTCAGTTTGAACTAATAGGGAAGTGGACCATTCTGAGAAGTTAATAGGAAGCATGACTTCAGAAATATTTTCAAACAGGCATCATGTTATTGCTTTTAAATAATTTGAACAACTCAAAACAGGTTTATTGAGTGATACTTCAGAGGAGGTCCTGAGGGGATTAGGTTTAATGTTTGTGGAATGTTTTTGTAATGAGTGTGTTCATTTAAAAATAAATGTTGCTTTAAGTAATTTCTACATTCTTTGTACAAGCCTGTTAATTTTCCTAGCAGCTCCTTTCTCTTGTTGTTCAACCTCCTAATTTTTACAGATATAATCTAAAAAGGACATAACGTAGTCTTGCGCGTACCCTGTTCTCCATGCGCCTAGGATCCATTTTTACCCTCAAAACACTTCATTCAGCTTTCTTTGTGTATTTCCAGAGTTTATTTGTGCAGATACAAACAAGTTGAAATATATATATTTTGTACACAAATGTAAGTGTACTAATCACGGTGTTCTATACCTTGTTTGTTACACTTAGTATACATATTGGATCTTTTCATATATGAACAAAGGGACCTTCTTCATTCTTTCCTATGGTTATAAGTAATGCATAGTATGTATGAGCCTCAGCTTATTCACCAGTCCCCCATTAATGGGAACTTAGTTGCTTCCAGTCTTTTGCTAGTACAAACACAAATGCAGGGAAAAAAACCTCACTATAAATCACTTCAGATGTGTGCAAGTAGATCTGTGGGATAGGTTCCCCGGAGGGTTGCTTGGCCAAGGGTAATTTGATAATTTTGTAATGTTTAACATTTGTAACTTTTAATAATTTAATTTTAATTTTTAGCATTTGTAATTTTGATATATAGTGCCAAATTTCCTTCAAAAGAAGCCATACTATTTATATTCCCACTAACAGTGTATGTACATGAGTGTTTTGCCAAAGCCTTGCCCACAGAGTATGTTAATAAATTTCAGTATTTTTGTAGTTTAGTAGGTGAAAAATGTTATTTCATGTTAACTTTGTTACAATTCTTGTATTGTTCCTGAGGTTGAATATCTTTTCATATGGCTTAAGAGCCATTTATATTTCCTTTTCCTTGAACTATCTGATCATATTATTTATTATTATTTATATATTATCATATTATTTACCCATATTATTTACCCATGGTTCTTATCAGTTTTTGGATCCTTATATCACTTTATTGAATCACTCATTTATTACTTATTTTAGTGCCTACTATGTGCTAGATATTGTTCTACGTATTGGAGATGTGTCAGTGGACAGTGAAAAAATACACAAAAATCCTCAACCTTCTGATCTTTTTCTAGCCTGAGTGCAGCTCTTGGGCACATGTTAAACTCTGGGACCCCAGGTGCCAGTGGAGGAGGAGTGAGTTAGGGATCAGCTGCCACCTCTGTGACATGCTGCTTCTTTGATGTCTGTCCCTCAACTCCAAGGGAACACCTCCACAGCCTACCAGAAAACAGAGTGCAACTTAACTGGGAGACTGCTAGGATAATCTTTAGTTGTTTTTTTTCAGAACTACCTTGCTAATTCATTGTAAGCAATGTTATTAATGAATCTTTTTTTTTTTTTAACTCAGAAAGCCAGTATTCTTTAATACACAGATGTTTTTTCCCTGAGAGGAAAAAAATGTAGTACTTTGGGCAGGATCTTTTCTTATATGAAAATTGTTTTATTAGAACTGTCATTCATTGCCTCTTTCTTACAGTTATCTCCTTTTTTTTTTTTTCCTGCAAAGCTGAACAGATTTGGGGATGAGATCTATGAAACATGTAGTGTCTTTTTTCCAATGTAAAACTTAATGACTGTTTAACTGATTTTGAGTGCAAATCATGCTCTTGGGTTCCTGAGAGTTATAAATGTGCGGCTGTGATTAAAGTTAAAACTTTATTTATAGATGTACTTCTAATTTGCTTTACTGATTTTTAGCTCTATTCTGCAGAAATATCACTAGATTTTAAGAGAAAAAGAATGAGACCAATATATCTTACTGCAATATAAGAAAGACCTTTTTAAATTCTGCTGATTATGAAATCAATAGATGTTTCATTGTTTAAAAAAAAAGAGGTAAGAGCACACACAAAAAAGAGAGAGAAAATATATACACAAAAAGCCCTATAATTTTTCTGCCCAAATTTATAACTGTTAACATTTTGGTGAATTTCTTTAGACAATCAGGAACATTTATTGAACACCTTCTCTGCCAGTTCATTGCTAGGATCAAAATAGAGAACAAGACAAAGGTAACTCTTGTTCTTTGAGCTTATAGGCCAGTCTGGAAAAGGACCATGAGATTGTAGGGAACATGTATTGGCAAGGAGATAACCCAATCTATGGGGCTCAAAGAAGGCTTCCCTGAGGAACTGACTTGCCTAAGATCTGAGGGTTGAGTGAGGCGCCTGTGTGGATAGAAAAGGGGGAGAGAATAGCATATTCAAATGTGAAAACATGAGGTGAGATCCTGGTGTTTGAAGAAGTGAGAAAAGTTCAAGAATGTAGAGAATAAGCTACTGAGGGCTGCCAGCATGAGAGTGACATTCTTAAGATCTAAATTAGTAGTGTCTAGACTTTGAGATTTCATAAATATTTTAGATCAAGTTTCCCAGAAGCAGACCTTGAGACAGTGAGTCAGTGCAGTTTACTGTGGAAGTGCTCCAGGAGAATCAGTCAGGATGGTTGGGGGTAAAGCATAATGGTGAAGTCAAGTGTGGATGCAGTTTCATATGAAGTCCCAGTCTGCAGGGAGGCAAAGTTGCTAGGATCTGGAGTCTTACACTCCTGCAGTCTTCTTCAGTGGGAAGGACTGAAGGTCTTCCAGGTATATGCCACTGATGAAGAGGCTCCAGAGGCCCAAGTAGTTCTGTGAAGAAGGTTACAGGTGTAAGTGCTTAGGAATGAAGCAAACCCATCTGGAGGATGGATGGCACATAGAGCTGGGTTGGGGTGGTCAGCTACAATAGACTAGTAAACATGGTAATGATTATAAAAATTAGGGATTTTTAAGTTGTGGGATTATTTACTTTGCTAAATTAGCATACATTAAAAATATAAGTGAAAATACCAATCTCATTTGTCATCACCATTATCGCATAAAAGAGACTTCAGTTTATATGGAAATGAGCATGAACAGAATCTTCACTAAAGAGCAGTTAGCAATTTTACAAGAACATTTATGTGTGAGCATGTTTTTTGTATATACCAATGCACATTTCCTTTTCACAGTTAATGATGGAAAACTCCATCATGCACTTTGATTGGGGAACCACTGGGTTAGAATGCCTATTTTAATTGAGCACACAGGTTTATGCCCACCTTAGGAGTTATCAAACAAGAGTGTGTTGGAGTAGCTCAGGAATTTGTTCTTAGAAAATGGATCTCTTACAGCCCTAGAACATTCAAAATGCAAAAGTAGTCTTTTCCTATTTCATCTGATTGCATTTCTTTGTTCAGTGAATGAAGTGGAAAAGTTACAGGAAGTTCTACCAGATCTCAGTCTTTTGCATTTTTTTCTCATGCTTTATTAAGAGGAAAAGAAAAAATGTAGTTTGGAGTATTCTGGTCCTGAGGATAATGTCTTCAGTGGATGCTTGTACAAAAGTCCGAAAATTAGCTAGCTCAGAGCTACCATTTAGAAGAAAGAGGGAAAAGGAGAAGGAGAAGGTGACAAATTTAGGTCACGTGAAATAAACTGATTGGAATAAAGTTATCTGGAAGTGAAATGTAGTGGTGTGAATTTTTTTGTGTTCAAAGCACTTCAAATATATGTAATGTTGACATTAAGAAAGCCGGGAGAAAAAAGAGGCTGTTACAGAGAGAATTTGCTACCAAAGTGTTTCACAAATTTGTCCAAGAAACATGATTTTGTCATTTAAATCAGAATTGACCAGGCTTTTCACTGGCTAACGTTTTTTTTTAGCAACAGGTTGTTAGTTTGTTAGTTTATAATTAAAGATGGGCTGAGAGGCAGGGAGTGAGTAGATACATCTGTCAGAATACCAGATTCTTTTACTTCTATTTATTTTCCTATACTATCCCTTTCTTTTCAGATAGTGAAGTTTAACAAGGTTGGCAAGAGAACTTTCTTTACTAAATACTAGATATTCTTACTAGCAGGAGAAGTTTTGGTTACAGGGATGTTTGTTGTACTCATATGTCTGACTTCAAACCTGACTACAAGTTAGAAATCTTGCTTCCTCTGGTTTCCAAGAATGAAACATCTCTCTTCCTCTCTTGTCTACCGGCAGCCTCCTGATTGCCCTGGAGACGTTTCTCAAAGGTATAACAGCAGGTCAATAGTCAGAGATCATGACTTGTTTATTGTTTCTGAGCTCAGGACACACGGCAGTCATTCAGTGCAGTCAACAGAAAGAGTATTTTGTGGGCTCTGTTGGTTACCATTCCAGAATTGAGTGCTCCATATGCGGATTGAAGCACAAGGTGAAAGGGATTCTAGGCTGAATTTTGCACATATGAAATTTTAGATTTAAAATACTTTAAAAGTATATTAGACTTTGTCAGAGTTCTCCAGTAGATAAATACAATGCATGCAAAGAATGGTAAACATGTAAAGGTACAGACTACAAGGCTATAACTTAAAGGAGTTTAATCCTGTCAATACTGCTTCAGGTCTGGGGATTTTAAAAGTTGGAGCTATCTCCAGAAAAGTGTGTGTGTGTGTGTGTGTGTGTAGTATGTGTGTGTGTGTACCTGACTGTGTGTACGTGTACCTGCATATACATGTGTGTATGTTTCCATTTGCTTTCTTGTTTTCATTGACTAGTTTTTAAGATTCTGGCTTCTGTTTTTCAGAACAAAAAGAAATTAGTGTATTCTCTTGTTGGGTAAACTAGATGCCTTTTTCTTTTTAACTTTGAAGTAATATGTTCTAGGTCTATTGGGAAATTTTGAACAAAAATTAACTTTAATGTAGATACCACAAAATCAATTTATATTGGTCTCACAGTTATATTAACTTAAGTGACCGCAAGCCTATAAAATAATTTTGTCTTTTTAATCAAGTTTTTTGTTACTTTCTAGGTTATCCACAAAAATAAAAATAAAATATAAAAAAACTGATTCACTTGGGAAATTTTTTTATATTTAGATATATTTTTAAATCTTTCTAAAAACTGATAAGATCCTGATGTTGTTCTGTTTAAGTATGTTATAATTTTTGACTTCCAATATATGTGTAACTATATAATATTCATGCTCTATAGAAGTCAGAAGCAAAAATGATACTAAAATAGCATTAATCCTAATATGTTTAAACCCACTAGAAGTGTTAAGGAAGTCATTTCAAAGCATCATCTTAACCTTGTCTATTTTGCATATTCTGCAAGGTAGATAGAGAATTCAGTAGATTCATGCATTATTAAAATAGAATATTTATGCTTTAATCAATGCCTTTCTTTAAGATATTTGTACTTTTATAATTTAATTTACATCATAATGTATTTCAAATTATACACAAAGAACATGTATTGTCTGCATATTATTTATTACAAAGCACCTGGCGAAGGTTATTTCTATATTACATTTTCAAATGTGTTTCTGCTAAGCCTCACAAAAGCTCCTCATTGGAGCTAAACTATAAGGTAGGCTAGTTTAGTACCCGTGTGCTGTGAACCAGTGCAGGCAGTTATTTTACAGGGTTCTGAATGGTCCTCGTTTCTTGGACATGAGACATTCCTCCAACATTATCTGGTGTCAGTTTGCAGTAGCACCAGAAGAATGAGTGAAACCAAATTTTGGATTTCTTCATGCATGTCATGATTTACTCTGTGATTCTTGGAAATAAGCCATCCCAAATCAGGCTTACATTTTCCCACCATTGTTTTAGATGTTTTTTTGCGTCAGTTCCCTGTACCTACATGACTAGCTCTATTTTACTGTATAGATTTACATTAGAGTATTCAGATTAGTTCCATTGTTGAGAACTTTTGACTTTAGCATATTTGCTAAATATATTTGCTAAGGGATACTTCTTAGGTTCAGATCGGTGCTCCCAAGTTTTTTTTTTTTGTCATATCATAGGAAGAAGATACCCAACCTACTTTTCTTTCCTCTTTAAACCTGCCATAGTCTGCTCTGTTCCTAGGAACTCTTCCCTTGCCTCCCAAGATTTATTATAGAGTACGACCAATTTTCCTATTCCTACTTTCTTTTTGTTGTTGTTGTTTGAGTCAGGGTCTCACTCTGTCACCCAGGCTGGAGTGCAATGATGTGCTCATAGCTCACCACAGCCTCAACCTCCTTGGCTCAGGAGATCTCCCACCTCAGCCCCGTGAGTAGTTGGCTTTTTATTTTTTGTAGTGATGAGATCTCGCTATGTTGGCCAGGCTTATCTCAAACTCCTGGGCTCAAGCAATCCTCCCACCTCAGCCTCCTAAAGTGCTGGGATTACAGGTATGTCTGCCTCTGTGGTCATTCTTGTATACTATGGCATAAGCTTTTTTGAAAGTAGTTTGTAATATATAGAGAGACTTAAAAATATGCTTATTCTTTGACATAAAATCTTTACTAAAAAATTCTGCTAGTCAAAGCAAATAATTAGGAATAGAGGAAAGATGATTATTGAAGTATTTTTCGATCTGTGCTTTTAATTTTCTTTGCTAAATTAGGAAACAATATTAGAGAAATAGTTAATTGACATGAGAATGCTTAATACCTGATGATACTATGTGAAGAAAAATCTTTAAATAATTTTGGAAAATAGTTTTATAAGAAGACTTAGATGAGATGAAATATGAATTAGGCTTTGAAATATAGATGGGAAGATAATAGTAGGTTGGGCATTTCATTGGGGGCAGACAACATGAGCAAAGACAAAGAAAGGTAGAAGTAAGTTTGTATGGAAAGTCATGATTAATCTGGCTGGGAAGTGGGAGTTCATTTGGAGGGAGAGGAGAGAACATTATTTACCTGTTATGTGTTAGATATTTGCTTGGAACAGGAGTACAAGGATGTATAGAAGATGAAAAACATGGAAATTCAGGAGAAGGGCATATATAAACAGACAATTTCCTGAAAATTTTCACAAAACGTAATGACTTGATAAAATAGAGAAAAAACATCAAAGATAACATGAAAGTTTTGTGTCTATATTAGGCCCGTCACACAGTGGGAAAGCTGGTTCAGTAGATCATTGTGAGGCAAGATGGCCAGTTTGGTTTCTGTAGTTGGTTTAGAACATGTACAAGAGAACCTTATCCTGTGTGGTTTATCCTCACTTTGGGTTTACATATCTCGTAGAACTGAATGTTGTTCTTCAGATACGTCTAACTACATATTCCAATCTTTAATTTGACCAATGTGAAATTTGCAAAAAAAAAGGACTGTTTGGGGACTTGTAAAAATAATTTAAGTAATAAGGTTTATGTGGCATTTAGGTTCCCCCCCCAGGTTTTTCATATCCTGGAAACAATACTTATGTTTGATTCTGTTCACCTTATTTGATAACTTTGTTTCACACTGTGATGTATTGGGCAAGGGGCCATAACCATAAGGTGCCAGTAAATCTCATTCTAAACTGTATTATAGGGAAGTTTCTTTTTTTGGCAGATGGGAGATTCTTTGGTCAGAGCGACCTACGAAGGTGAATGCTTCCCAGGCTCGCCAGTTTAAACCTTGTATTAAGCAGATAAATTTTCCCACAAATCTTATACGACTGGAAGTAAATAGTTCTCTTCTGGATTATTACACTGAATTAGATGCAGTTGTGCTACATGGTACGAAGGATAAGCCAGTACTTTCTCTCAAGACTTCACTTGTTGACATGAATGATCTGGAAGACGACATCTGTGAAGAAAAGGATGGTTGTGGAATGGACAATCTTAACAAAAAGTTTAGCAGTGCTGTCCTCAGGGAAGAGCCAAATAATGGGTATTTTGATAAACTACCTTATGAGGTAAGCCAAAAATGTTCCGCAGCAATATTGGACATACACTATAGTTTTTTTAATGTTTAAATACTAATGTTTATTTTGCTAGATATCATCAGAATTGGGTATTGGTAAGGTGTATGTAATCTGATGTGTTGTATATTTTGCATTTGGAAAAACTAGACAAAATGATGTTTAACTAATTTCACTGCTTTTGTTTTGGATTAGCTTTAGTGTCTCTGGAGAAACTATTAAATATATGTTTTTATATCACTAGTTAACAATGACTAACTACATAAACCAATAATAAATTGTACTCCACTTTAATTCACATTATACCATGTAAATATGGGCAATACATGCTTAACTTTATATCAGTTATGTTAAAGATGCTTTGCTATAGAAATAACTAGTAATAAGATTGTGAGGTAAACACTTATTCCTTTTAATAGCCCGCAGTTTCTGTGTCATTTGTTCTCTACTAGTTCTAGTCTATATTCTTCTACCTATAGTTTTACCTGTAGGAAGGTACAGAGTGCTTTGACCTAGGAAATACTTTTTTGAATGTCTAGGTTGAAGTCTTGCTTTCAGTGTGTCTCTACAGGGGTGTTTCTGTGGTAGAGGTAGCATACCAGGCTCTCAGGCATCAAATGCCAGTAGCATTCCAGAGCCCTGTGACATCAAAACCTCTCCCCACCGGTTTCCAAATAGTACCTGGGGGTGAGAATAGGGTCAGGCATTTCTGTCTCCCACTGAAAACTGCTATGTGGTTAAAGCATATAATCAATTTCCTTTTTAAGAAAAATATGTAGAATCAAATTTTAACCAACTTTGATATCCCCCTTCCAAATTGGTGGGCATTTCAGATTTCACTGTATAGTACAAATAGTTTAACCTGCATGGAATGATAAGGCAGTCTCTTGAAAGCCTAACAGTAATAGCACCTATAATGCCTGTTTAACATTTTACAGTTAAAATGCTATGAAACATCTTGTGAAGTCGCAAAAGTTGCCACATAAAGATGAATTTAAGAGTCCAAGGTAATTCAGTCAGTAAGCCACATGAGTAGCATCCCACCTAGGCCTTCTCAGTCGAGTCCTATATTATGGACAGGAAGCTTCCCAGATTGGGCAAGGACATTTGACCCTTGATAGGAGGAGAGAGGAATGATGATGGAAGAGTTGAGTCTGGGGAGGCAGGGGAGTGTGAGACCCTGATGGTGGTGTTCTTCAGGGCTCTGAGGAGGGTCTGTCGTGCTGCCGTGGGAGAAGTTCATCTGAAGGAGTATCAATCACTTCTTCGATTCTTTCCCACTTTCTAAGACTATAAAATAGAAATTTAGATTGAGCAAATACATTTTAGATCGTTTATTGAATTTTGTCCAGACCTGGAACAAAATGCCTGGCACCTAGCATTCAAATGAAGGGCAGAGGGGAACATCAGGCAGATAGAAGAGAATGTACAAAGGTGAGAAGTGAAACTGTGACTTGGGAACTCCAGTATTTCAGTATGGCCAAACCACAGGATTTGATAGGGAAGCTGCAAGAGGTGGAATTGGTTGGAGACCCCATTCCATGTACATAGATGACTGATTGGAACTCGCGTGGCAGGGCACAACCACTCCGCTGCATCAGAGAGGGCTCTCTGGATTTAAGCAAGAGGTTTGCGTTTTATGCCTTCAGCCAGTGGTCTTCAAGGTGCTGAATTACACAGTGGTTTCAGGGTGCTCCAGTATTCAGCAAAATTAGTTGAGGGGAGTCACAGATACTTTAGACTTTGTAAATAATTTACTTTTGCTAAAAAGTTAGAGCATGCCCTTGAGTAGGCAGATAAAGTAAAAGCATCAAATTTCCTTAATCTGTGTATTCAATGAGGTCTCAGTTAAAATGCAAACGGAATTTTTTAAATTGAAAAGTTCACCTAAAAAAGGAAAATATTCAGTAAAATTCTAGAACAGAAGAGTGAGGGAGAGACCTTAGTCCTGATCCTCATTTGCAACCAGGCAATCGACTGAATTCCAGCATATACTTTTAAACATTTAGAATAATGCTTATTTATTTTACCTAGAGGGCTATTAATATGGGAGAAATAATGAGTAGGTAAATGAACAGAATAGAGTCCAGGAACAGACCAAGAGGAAAGAAGGAAAGGAAATATATTGGCAACTCCTTTGGGGAAGGATTAGCTTCCTGTAGCTTAAAAAAAAAACTGCAAATAAAAACAAATAGTTCTGTACCTTTTTTTTGGTTTGTTTGATAAGTGTGAAAGGGTACTTTTATACAGTTTTTGTGGTATATGAATTGATGTGAACATTCTGAAGGGCAATTTTGTACTTGTATCAAAACTTTTAAATATATATAATTTACCCTAAGAATATATTTGCAAAGTTTGCCAAGATGAAAATACATACACAATATTACAATGATATTGCCAGAATATTTGCAACAGGAGAAAAGCAGAAAATACATCAGTGAGAAAATAATCACATCAATGAATTGGATTGTGGTGGGTCTGGATGTGTATATTTAGAGTAAGATCTACATGATATATCATTAAATGTGAAAAGCAAGGTACTGAACAGTGTATACAGTATCATTCTTTTAGTGAAAATCCAGTCATACATATTTATCTGGAAGAGATCAGAAAAACCTTTAACAATGCTTACCTCTGGGGAGAGGAATTGTTAGATGAGAATTGAGTGTAGAGAGGAAGAAACTTCTTATTTTCTACTTTTTTTCAATGTGAAAGTTTTCTAATTTTTTACTTGATTGTTTTGTTTGTGTAATATTTTACAACAGGTTTATCTAGATGGTGAGATTTATTAAATAAAAAATTATTCAGTTGTGATAGGTATAGGGACCACTGCAATGGGATTTTGTGGTGGGGGAGAGAGATTGGGCTCATTTCTGAATATAGCATGGGCAAGTGGGAATTTATAGCCAAGGAACAGGTTGGGAAGCTCAGTAGATAGAAAATCACTAAGAGGAAATATCAGGAAGAAGGGGTATTCTGGCTAAACCCTCTTTAAACTTATTTTAAAGATCATATTTTTGTTACTCTGTGGTTTGTAATATTTTGGCCTAAAACCATAGAATTCTGACCAGAAATTAATACAACACTAAGATAACAAAAAAAAATGGAAGAAGAGTATTTATATTTAGGCTAATTACAAAACAAAAGTTCAGTTAGATAAATACACTGCATTGTATTTTTAAAAGCCTCTTCACCTAAATACGATTTTTAACATTTAGCAAATAGTTAATATTTTTTGTCTTTTTTTGGGAGGGGGGTCAGAATAGGCTGTTTAGCAGTACTTCTTTGAAAACTAGTTTAGAAGCCCCCAACTGTTAAGAAAAAACAAATCTTGGATTAGTTCAAGGAAATAATTTTGATTAGAGATCACAATGTCTGATTCTGTCTACTTGATAACATTTGTATCTGTTTATTACTCCTTCATCAAAGCCCTTATTTTCTCTTTTCTGGAATTCTACATTAGCGCCCTGGGTAGTTTCTCTTCCTGCCTCCCTTCTTCTAGTAGCACCCTCTGCAATGATCTAAAACACAAATCTGACCATGTCACTCTGCAGTTTAAAATCCTACAAATGCCTCATTGCTTTTAGGACAAATCCAGACTCCTCTGTGAGGCTCTTCATAACCCAGTCTTTACTGCTAGACTCTCTCTTTACTTGGTTTGCCCCTAACCCTTTAAAACGGAACCTTCCTGGAATAGGCACACTGTCCCTTGAAGTCAGGCCTGTGGCTTGTGTTAGGGTTTAGAAGCATTCTGTGCATCTATCAAAACTATTAAGACATTTCATTGTACTTATCAATCCCCACTGGACCAGAAGCACTTTGAGAATGAGCACTCTTTCCTGTCACCAGTGTCTAGCATGTAGCAGATGTTCAGTAACTGTTGAGTCCATGAAAAACTGTACTACTCAACAGATTACCAGAATGTCTTTATACCCTAAGAAAATGAATAGTCAGCCAGGTACGGTGGCTCAAGCCTGTAATTCCAGCACTTTGGGAGGCTGAGATGAGAGGATTGCCTGAGCCCATGGGTTCAAGTTCAGCCTGGGCAACTTGGTGAGACCTCATCTCTAAAATTAATCAAAAAAATTAGCTGGGTGTGGTAGTGTGTGCCTATAGTTCCGGCTACTTGGAAGACTGAGGTGGAGGGCCGGTGCCCAGTGAGTTGACACTGGGGTAGCTGTGAGCGTGCCACTGCACTCCAGCCTGGGCAACGGAGTGAGACTCCAACTCAAAAGAAGAAAAAAAAAGAAAAGAAAATGAATAGTCAGCATGAGTTGAGTATGCTTTGAAGAGTTTTGAAATGCCATATAGTCAAATGTATGTGTGGTTTCTTCTCATTTTAGTAATTCTGTTGAATATTGGTTTATTTACTATGTGAATATATTGTTATAAAATATATGACGCTTTATTTCTTATTAGATCACGTTATATGCTTAATAAAGAGATGCTTACTGTTTTTCACTCTTGATGATCTTGGTTTCTCTGTCTTATGTAGCTCATTCAACTGATTCTGAATCATCTTACGATACCAGATCTGTGCAGATTAGCGCAGACTTGCAAACTGCTAAACCAGCACTGCTGTGATCCTCTACAATACATCCACCTCAATCTGCAGCCATACTGGGCAAAACTAAATGACACCTCTCTGGAATTTCTACAGGCTCGATGCACTCTTGTCCAGTGGCTTAATTTATCTTGGACTGGTAATAGGGGCTTTATCTCTGTTGCAGGATTTAGCAGGTTAGTGGAAAGACTTGTTGAGGTTTTTTTTCCCCCCCACCAGCAGGCTATATTTTACTTTGTAGTATTCATAATAAAAGTTTGAAATTATATACTATGTATCTTACAGAAATAAAAAAGAAATGTATTTTGTGTATTATCATGTTCAGAATGCTGCTGCTTATAAAAATGAATGTATCTTACGATTCTCTTCAGCTAAATTTCATAACATGAAGGGTAACTGTATTACCTCATATTTTTATAGTCTCTCATAACTTTCAACATAACTCCTGTTTTTTTCTTTCTCATATTTTCAGCACAGATGATTAACACATTTTAAAAACTATTTCCAAATCAAAATCTACCTCTCTAATGTGATTTGTCAGAAATGGAAAACAATTTATTATAGAACATTTTAAATTAAATCTTAATTACATGTGCAATACATCACCTAGATTTAGAAGCTCATTTGAACTAATTATGTTGAAAATGCAATTGCATGCTAAATAGACGACCACACTTGCAGACCTGCCCAGGTGTTTCTGCTCCTTTCTATTTAAGCATTTAGTTTCCTTACTATTAAATGTCACCTGTTAAACATTTGAAAGCTTGCACAAGTGCATATTCATTTACTAATGCCATAGTAATTTTTCTTATGCTACAAACAGGTGTTTTTCTCTTAACTTTAATGATGGTTGTTCTCATTGTATGTTGTATAATCCCACCATTTTTGTGAATTTAAATAATGGAGTAGAAACTTTAGGGAAATTATCTGTTATTTTTAATTAATGAATACACTTTTATCCTGATTTTTAAAAATGAAAAATGAACTACACCTATCCCTTCGTGTACCCCCAGTGAACACATTCTTGAATAGTGGCTTATGAATTAGAAATTTGTATGGGGAGTCTTGTTTCCTTTTGACTCAGATTGTAAAAATAGAGATGAAGTTTCAGAAATAAATGTCTGACATCATTAGATCTGGATGAAGTAATAATGTTTGCAATAGTAATAATTGTTCAAAATGCTAACACTGATAGTTTATGCATCATAGTGAAAAATAACGCAAACAACATATGTGGAAGCCATGGATACAATGAATTTCTTTCTTTTTCTGCAAGAAGTGGAGCCAGGGAAGGGGACTCATTGCTAGACATTTAGCAGCTGTCCAGTGAAACACAGTCCTTTCTACTTCTCCTTGCCCCAAACACACACACTTCAGCTGCAAATTTTTTTCTCTACTAATGGGACCAAGAAGAACTGAAGCAAATGTTAGCGATAAATATTTAGAGCATATATTATCACAAACAGGCTTAATGAATATGAGATCAGAAAGAACAAATGATGTCAGTAAGCATTATTGTATATTATGTGGACCTTTAGAGTAATTTAATTACCTTCATAGCTCTTTGCCAACGTTTTCCACTCTTAGGAATTTATTGTTTGTTTTCACTCTTTGTGTGCAAGGCATGTAGTGGATATTGTTGATGATGTAAAGAGATTTGTGAGATACGTAATATAGTTTGTGCCGTCAGGCTCAGAGAAGATAATGAAACTAATATAAACGTATGCTGTATATATTTTATAAATAAAATAACAAAGTGATAACTAATGATTGCAGACAGTAAAGAAAACATTGCTGGTGAGTGACTGAAGTCCAGCTTCTTTGGCAAAATGCTTCATAGGTAGCCAGGTGTGATGGTGTGCGTCTGTAGTTCCAGCTACTTGGAAGGCTGAGGTGGAAGGATCGCCTAAGGCCAGCAGGTCAAGGCTGTGGAGGCCCTGAGCATGCCCCTGCACTCCAGCCTGGGCAACAAGAGTGAGACTCCAACTCAAAAAAAAAAAAGCTTCATATGACCATGATAGTGATGAGTGAAATGTAAAGGCCATATTAAACCAATTCTTAGAACTTTCTTTATGTAGCTTATTCTGGTGCATGAGAAGAAACATTCGTTGTAAAAAGGAAACTTGGCTGTACTGTATTTTAAATTTTAGGTAATAATGGATAAAGATCTTCTTTTGTAAAGTTAGAGCTCCAATTTGCTTTTTCACCAGCAATTTCTCTTCCATTTCAATTCATCCAGGTTAGTTGCTGTAGGACTGCTTGAATAATCACAAAAATGAATACATAAATTTAAGTTCTCCTTATTTGCTATAGTATTTCGGCCAGTAAAACCATAAATCTTGATAGCATTCCTGAATCATCACTATTCTTATTAAGAAAATAAAAAGTTTAATAACAGGGAGAAAGGGTCTTTTCTTGGGTGGGGGCATATTGGATTTTGCCTGCTGATTGCTGTTGGACCCCATGACTTGACTTCTGAATTGATCCTCATTATGGCTTGTAGGCGGTATTCCCAGAATAAACAATAAATATTCATCGCTTGATTATTAATGAATAATCTTTAAATAACTTTGGTCTATTTATGCTTATTACTGTGAAGATGACTTATTTATAATACTTTAAAGAAAAAAACCACATTTTTAAAACTAGAGATCAATGTTGATGAGCTGCGTTTTGAGCATGTCTTTGGGAAAAAGTTTGATGTAGTTTATATTTGCTGTCTAAAAACATTATCCTTACACATTAAAACTGTTTAACTGGATTTTATTTTATTTTTTCTTTTAAGTATGTGGGGTACACTTCAGGGATAGGTATACAAATGTTCATTGTGCAGGTCCCCTTGTTGATGAGGTATGTCCCCCGCTCCCCGGCAATTTCCCACTACTGCCAGTCTTGCCCCCGCCCACCCCTGGCAGTTTCACACTACTGCCAATCCCTTTATTATGGTATTACAATAGTTGTTCAAGGTCCATTTATGAGTGAGAACATGTGATACTTGATTCTTTGTTTCTGTGATAGATCACTCAGTATTATAGATAGCTTCTAAGTCCATCCAGATTGCCGCAAAGTTCATAATTTTGTCCTTCTTTATGGCTGTTTAATATTCCATCGTGAATATGTACCACATTTTTTTATCCAGTTCTCTTTTGATGGGCAGCAATGTTGGGTCCATGTTTTGGCTATTGTGAACAGTGCTCCAATAAACATGCATGTGCAGGTATCTTTTTTTTTCTCTTTTAATTTTTATTTTGAAATTGTGGGGTACAATTCAGGGTTAGGTATAAAATGTTCATTGTGCAGGTACCCTTATTGATAAGGTGTGCCACCCCTTCCCCAGGTGGATATCTACTACTGTCAGTCCCAGCTACCCACTCCCCACCCTCCTCCCCGCAGTTTCCCGCTACTTTCAATCCCTTTCCTACAGTAATACAGTAGTTGTTCAAGGTCCACTTATGAGTGAGAACATATGATACTCAGCTCTTTGTTTCTGTGAGAGATCACTCAGTATTATAAACTCTAATTCCATCCACGTTGCTGCAAAGTTCATGATTTTGTTCTTTATGGTTGCATGATATTCCAAGTTGGAACTGGCAGCCAATTCCTGATCAAAACCCAAAGTGCCCAGGCCTTAGGAGATAAGATAGATAAGTGGGACCTCATTAAACTGACAAGCTTTTGTAAAGCCAAAGAAACCATGAAGAGAGCAGGGAGACAGCCCACAAACTGGGAAACGATATTTGCCAACTTCATGTCTGACAAAGACCTTAACATCAAGGATCTACAAGGAACTCAAAAGTGCTGAAAAGAAAAAAACAAAGAGCCCCATTACAAAGTAGACTAAAGATATGAATAGACAGTTCTCAAAAGAAGACATATGAGCAGCCAATAGACATACGAAAAAATGTTCAGCCTCACTAGTCATCAAGGAGATGCAAATTAAAACTACACTGATAGACCACCTAACTCCAGTCAGAATGACCATCATCAATAACTCAAAAAATAGCAGATGCTGGAGAGGATGTGGCAAAAAGGGAATACTTCTACACTGTTGGTGGGAGTGTAAACTAGTACAGCTTCTGTGGAAAACAGTGTGGCGATTCCTAAAAATTGACCCTCCATATGACCCTGTAATACCCTACTGGGAATGTACCTAATCCCCCTACTGGGGTATCTTTTTCATAGAGTGATTTGAGTTCCTCCGGGTATACCCCCAGTAGTAGGATTGTGGGGTCATATGGAAGATTGATTTTTAGATCTTTTAGGAATTTTCCACAGAGAGGAATTTTCCACCAGCAGTGTAGGATCTTCTCTTTTCACCACATACTCTTCAGCATCTGTTGTTTTTTGAGTTATTGATGGTGGCCATCCTGACTGGAGTTAAGTGGTATCTCAGTGTGGTTTTAATTTGCATTTCTTTGATGATTAGTGAGGCTGAGCATTTTTTCATGTATCTGTTGGCTGCTCACGTGTCTTCTTTTGAGAAGTATCTATTCATGTCTTTTGCCCACTTCTTAATGGGGCTGTTTGTTTTTTTTCTTTTTGGCACATTTGAGTTCCTTGTAGATCCTAGGTGTTAGGCCTTTTTCAGATACATAGTTGACAAATATTTTTCCCAGTCTGTGGGTAGTCTCTCCACTCTCTCATTGGTTACTTTGGCTTTGCAGAAGCTTGTCAGTTTGATGAGGTCCCACTTGTTTATCTTATCTCTTACGGCATGGGCACTTGGTTGGTGTTTTGATCAGGAATTGGTTGCCAGTCCAATTTCCATAAGGGTGTCTCCTGCATTTTCTAAGGTTCTTAGTGTTTGAGGTTTTACTTTTAGCTCTTTGAACCTTTTAGAGCTGATTTTTTTGTATATGGCGACAGGTAGGGGTCTTGTTTTTATTTTCTGCATGTGGTTAGCCAGTTTTCCTAGCACTATTTACTGAACAGGTTCTCTTCTCACCAGTGGTTGATGGTGGAGGCTTTGTCAAAGATGAGTTGGTTGAGAAATTGATATTTTGCTTCTGGAATCTCTGTCCTGTTCCATTGTTCTATATGCCTATTCTTGTACCAATACCAGACTGTTTTGATTATTGCATCTTTATATTAAAGCTTAAAGTCTGGGAGCGTGATGTCTCCTGCTTTTTTTTTTTCCCCCTGAAGATTGTTTTGGCTATTCATGGTGGTTTGTTTC